CGGGCGGCGGGCGGCCCGGCCTGGGGGCCTGGACCCCCACGAGGGGCTGCGGCGGCGGCGGCGGCGGCGGCGGCGGCGGCGGGTGCGCGTCTCGTGTGTGCGTGGGGGGTGTTGGATCTGTCTGGCTGCGCGAGTGTGCGGTGTGTATGTGTGTGCGATGAGCGTGTGCGTGTGTGTGCGCCAGCGCTTAGTGTTTCTGGGGGAGGAGAGGGAAGGAAGAGAACGTGGGAATGTGGCTTTCTCCTCTGTGTGGCAAGCTCCCTGGATGAGTTTCCCGACACAGAGAGACACACACAGAGGTGGAAAGAGAAGAATACGCGCAAATAAATCATAAATAATCCCGCTTTATTGCTGCCTGATTTTCCCTTATCGGAAACCATTCATGTTTGCAGTTGCTGAGGTTATTGAGGGTCGTAAAAAACGGTTTCAATCTAAACAAGAAAGATAAAAAACAAAAGGAACACTGTAGATCCCGCAAGTATGGGAGGATTCCCGCCCCAGAGATAAATCTCATAGCCATGCAAAACACATGAACATTGGAAATTTAACAGAGTGCCTTAAAAATATCAAATTAAATGTAGGTGGTGGTAACATGCATGTTAACAATTTCTCTTATGATAGATGGTTCAAATTAACTTCCAGGAAAGTGCATTAACGTTGCCTTTGAAGGCTCTAGTCTGAGCCTCTGAGAACACTGCCCGCTTTTTATTATTGTAACCTGCAAGAGGGAAACATATAAACACCCGGGACAGCAGGTAATGGGGGGAAATATAAACAAAGCCAGAAAGGAGGCTGGTGGGGAACAGAGCTGCTCAGATTGGGTCTCCGGCCTTGCCCACTGCGAGTAGGGTTAGCTGCAGCTTTACCCCCATTATTGGCACTATTGTTTTTAATTTCTCCATTCAGAGAACAAATAAACCATCCTAATAAATCTATCCTAGAGCCAGGACCTCCAAAGGCCAAATTAAAACCATTCCTGAGCAGAGATGGCAAAACCCCTTTCCCAAGGCCTTGTTGAACAGTAAGCAATGGTATAATCTATCAATATTTCCTGGCTTTCATGCGTGAAGAATCGTATTTACATTGTATTAAAATGACTCTTAAATTTGCACAATATTGTAATGTAGCAAATGTAGTATTAATATCGATCTGAACAGCAGATAATTTATTTAGACAAGAGCATCTCATTTGTATGCAGGGTGGCCAGAGCCATGGACTTGGACTGCCCCCCTTTTACTTTCAGTGCAAATGCAGGTCTGCTAGTGGGAGAGGGAGTTATTCTTTGCAAGAGGATAAAGTGCAAACCTTAAAACAAATGGAAGATTTATTGAATAGCCTCCTCAGTGTTTGAATGCATTTTATCTTAATAAGTCTTCTTGATGGAAACGTGTTTTTCAAAAGTGACAAAGAGCCTGGGAAGCAGCAACCGGGCTGCTTTAGCTCTGGCAGGCCTGGGGCCTGGCTGGCTCTCTACTACCCAGCTCTTTAGCCAAATTAATCAGGAAGCAAGCCAGTGTCGGGGAAGCTGGGGTTTTAAAAATCTCATCCAGTGAGGTGTCTTGAAGCAGAAATGTGACTTGGAGCTGGACAGAGGTCTTCTCAGGAAAGATCTTTCCTCCCTTTCCCTTGTCCCCTACTAAGGTTCTTTGAACTCCCTTGACTTTTCTGATCTCCTGCCCTTTCCCAGAGAGAGGCAAGGACCGTGCTGGCTGCAGGGAGGATTGTGGAATTATTCATGCTTTTCTTTCAACTTGCCATCCTAAAACATCCCCGTGAAAAGTGTTCCTTTTTAAAAAGTTTTCCCGAAGAAGTTACTTGAACAAAGTCTTCAAGGTGCAAAGGAGGCTGAGAAGCGAACAATAACATTATTTTGTTGGAAATTGCAAGCAGAATATCTGAAAGTGGAAATGGAGCTGTCAGTAGTAATTCACCCCCCTCCTCCATACAACACATTTCCACTTTTGACTAAACTTGTTTTGATTGCTAGCCAGAAGGGAATTCATGGGAAGCCTTCTCAAAGTCATCCAACTTTTAAGCAAACTTTGAATGATGGAAAAGACAGTTTTAGACATATTGTCCAACGAGGTTTGCTCCGGCTAAGTATTTGAAGCTGGCACGGGGGTTCCCTGTGGTGGTTTTCACATTTGGCCTCCGGATGGTATGCTTAATCCTTAATATTCTGGACAGCATCCAAGGACTAGGTCATGACCTGAACTTACTTTTTTTAAAAATTCATTAATTCATACACCTAAATGTTCCCTCAAATAAATGGGACCTCCTCTGAAAGGAGCCATCTAGTTAACATAAATACAATAAATCCATTTTCACCACAATAATAACTTTGATTTCTAGTTATGGCAGCTGATTACATCTATATTTCCTGAACACTAAACTCTTCTGAATGCACAACATGAAATACATTCTCTGCACTACAAAGGCTAAGCCGGGAGGGCCTGAGTAGTTATGGTTATTTATTTACATAATTTCTTTCCCATATACTTTAGGAGAAATATTGACACTACCATATAAAAAGTGAGACATTGATTTTGTACGTTTCTACCCCCTTTTCTTATCTTGGGTATATCTCCTGGGGTCTAAGTATGTACTGCGTTACACCCCCTGCTCACCTAGCTTTGCTACCACAACCACCCAATCGATCTGAGAGCTCACACTATCTATCCATAGTTGGGGGGGGATCCTGTTGCAGGAATATCCAGAGAGGGAATGAATATCTAGAGTGGGAATCCAGGCCTGAAGTAGGACTCCTGCTGGAGAGAGGCCACAGAGCTGGCCGGCTGGCACCTGGCAGCCAGGCCCAGCTACAGGCATTCTGCCTTCAGAGGAGGAAAGAAATCCAAGCAGCCAGCACAGGGCCCAAGTAAGCCTTTCCTGGGCTTCTCTCTTTTGGAGTGACATAGCTGGGAGAAGAGTAGTGTCCTTGCACTCTGGGGGCCCAATTGTAAATATCAGATAAATATTTTACAGACCTGAGGGAATGCCATATGGGTGATTAAAAGAAAAAAAATCTGCTGGGGTATCAGTGGGTCTTTTTCATCCTGCATTGTCTAAGGCTGAAAGGGATCCTGTGGCATAATGGGCAGATAATGCATGTAAAGCAAGATATATGTAAATATGAGTCTGCATAGTGGCCTTTCAGCAGGGCCAGGTTAGCAATCAGGACCAAGGGCAGACCTCAGGGTCCCCTCTCTAAGCAGTGAAGCCCCAAAGTGCTTCTGCCCTCGCCCTTCTAGCCATAAAAATCTCACTGGCTTCCCCAGTCAGGCCAGTGTGGATGCACCCAAGTGGCTGGCTGGAGTAATTAGACATCTGAGAGGAACCCATTCTGGATCTGGGGTCAGAGGGGACCTGCCTTAGAAGTTCTTGAATTAGCACTGGTTTTATTTGTATTTTTGCTCAAGGCCATTGCCTTGTAGATGAAGGTGTTAGAATGCTTTGTACATCCCAATTCTTGAAATATAAAGACATAAAGCTGAGGAACTCAGCAGACACGGGTTTCACTTTGAATCATTTGGTGTGACTTCTTAGGGTCACATTTACCCATTCACAATTATATAACGTCCTTTTGGGGGCATTGCCATGTATGAGTTTCTTCCCAGATCTATATATTAGCAAACTCTGCCTTTGATCTCTAGTCAACCTCCTGACTGGCTAAGGGCTCCTCTGTGATCTTCCTGTTTTTAAAATATTTATTATTAATACAAGAAATAGCATGGGTGTTTGAACTCAGAGAGGAAGCTTTCACTTCATTCCTCTAATTCCCCCTTCTCTTCCATTTCTTCGCCTTTAGTTAGTTAGTTGATATAGTATAAACTGCTGTCTTGAAATATTTTTAGGAGACCGTGAGGAGCCTTGGTTGATATGAGATAAACACACAGGTTTTAAGATGCTGTCATTGTGTGCAAGTGCCTTTTTCCCCTTGGTCCTGCAACAGGAAGCCCATCTCCCCAAATCCCCCCTAAACTCCCCAGCTCCCAGTTTGGAAACAGCAACAGCAGCTGCCTCTAGCCCAGCTTTGTGTCTGATCGCTGAAGATGTCTCCTTCCTGCAGCCTGGAGTAACTGAGCCATATTCCTCCTGATTATTATACAGCTTACAGAGATGTGACCAATTTTCAATTACTTGATCTAAAGCACAGATAGAAGTATACACCCTCACCAAGGATTTGCTGCAGAGTTCTTGCTTGCATAGATAGTGGATCTCAAATCCTATAGTGCTAAAGCATGGGCTTGATCTGATTCCATGCAATGCCAGCCCATGACTCCTTCCCCCTCCCATGCGTTTGTTCACTATACAATCTAGGTTCTCCTTGAAGATTTTGGTTGGGGTCATTTGGGTTTGAGAGGGAGGACTCCAAGAAGCCTGTAAGAACTACCTCCAGGCTACATATTTCTTCAGGGCTTCTGAACACCCTGAAATCAGGGGCAAAAGGGGCAAAAGTCCTCACTTTAATGAGCACAGCGGAAAGATGCACCCCTGCAGGCGGAGGACAGGTTGCTACGCACAGCAAACATGGCTCCAGCATCGTACATTATTTAATCCAAAGGTGAAAGAGGAAAAACAAAGAGACTAGAGAGGTTGCTGCCTCTGCATGTGTGTGCTTCTGTCTCCAGCTCCCCTAGGCTTGGTGGGGGTTTGATTTATTTTTATTTGTACTGGGGTCTGAGTGGGGGGAATGGTGAGGAAGGATTGGGGAGGTATGGAGAGGAAGATTTTTTTTTCTTTTCCCTTCTCTTTCTTTTTCCCTCTTTTACCAACTTAAAAAAAAATTGAATGACTTGTTTGTTCCTTTGCTGTTCACTAACCTGTGTATCCTCTCCTCTTGTGTCTCCTTCTTGTGGCTGCTCGGGCAGATGCCTGTGGCCTGTCGGATGCCGCCCATATCGAGAGCCTGCAAGAGAAGTCGCAGTGTGCACTGGAGGAGTATGTGAGGAGCCAGTACCCTAACCAGCCCAGCCGCTTCGGCAAACTCCTACTGCGACTGCCCTCCCTGCGTACCGTGTCCTCCTCGGTCATCGAGCAGCTCTTCTTCGTCCGTTTGGTAGGTAAAACCCCCATCGAAACTCTCATCCGGGATATGTTACTGTCTGGGAGCAGCTTCAACTGGCCTTACATGTCCATCCAGTGCTCCTAGACCTTGGGCGCTTCCCACCTGCCCCCACCCCCCTAGAGACTCAGAGGACCGGCGGGGGCCATGGACTCCAAAGCTTCGGGGACATCAGGTGGCTGTTGCAGGGTGCAGCCAGGCAGGGGGGAGGTGGGCTGGGCCAACAGGAGCAGCCCACCCTGCAGGAATGCAACCCGAGCTGCAAACCAGGAGAAAAAGAGACTCTCTTTAGGATCAGATCTGTGAACAAGTTGGAAAGGAAAGAAAAAGGACCTTGTGTCTGGTGAGAAAAGGAAAAAAAAAAAAATTTGAAGAGAGGACCATGAGAATTTTAATAAAACAGAAGGAGACTAATGGACCTTCCAGGATTTATTGTGGACGGATGTGGATATATTCTGTACAGAAAAACAACACACATGGAAGTGGACTGAATTCTATGTAGAAACACACACACACACACGCACACACAAACACACATACACACCCCAAACATTGTTATTCATTTTGTAAAATACTAGTCTTTATTTTCATTTTTTTGTAAAATTTAAACATCGTATGCACATAAAAAAAGGAAACAAGAATTAGGGGAAAATAACATTTTCCAAATAATTATAAAAAAATTGTCCTGTGTCTATGTATCTATATCTGTTTTGTATTTTTTTCTGGTTCCAAACCAGATTTCCTGTGATTCTATACTAATAATTTTTGATATAACCCTTTGCTTCTTATAATGAGTGCGATATATGTTGTCGAGGCTGTTCTTCAAGAATTAAAATTGAAGTGAAAATTTAAACAAAAATAAAAGAATTTAGCAAAACCCATGTGTCTGGTTACTTGACAGATGTCATAAGTGCAAGAGAACCCTCCAATTAATTTTCACTGCAATTATTATTAGAATGGGGAGGTGAGGTGGAAACTTTTAAGGTCCATTACAAAGTTGTCTAGATTTATTTCCTAAACCCAAGACGCTGCCTTGGTTTTGTAAATGCAGGGGATCAGGCTCTGCATGGGCTGGGGTGGGCAGGGAGAGGGCAGGGCACCTTGGTTGCCCCCAGCAGCTCATGTCACCTCTCGGGTGGCTGGTGCTCCGCATGGAGCTAAGCAGGCAGCTGGGGTAGGCTCGGCTCGGCCCCAAGTGGAGGCCTAGTCTCGGTAGCCACCAGCTACAGTGACTGCAGGTGGGAACGTGCCTGGCTGGAGAGGCTGTGAAGAGAGGCATGGAGAGCTGACTGGGGGGGTCTAGGGAGGAGAGGGCAGCTCAGAAGCCTCTCAGAAGACCATTGGCCCCTCCTCAGCTCTGGGAGACAGAGGGCCTCAGCGCTGCCAAACCTAGCTTTGCTCCCCCTTTGGTCCGGAGCACAGCAGGCTAGGGTTTACCCTTCACTCCAGACCCTGTGACAGGGGTTCCCTGGAGGGCTCTCAAGCTCAGTTGAGCGAACAGAAAGGCCCTCCTGTGGCACTTAGGGACGTGGACCTGGAACCTGGGGGTTGGTGAGCTAGGTAGGCTAGATTACACTATTTACAGAAGCAGCGTTTAGGCCCTATTGGAGCATTCAGGGCAGAAACCTAACGCTGAGGCCTCACTTTGGGTGTGCAGGGGGCGAAGGTTGGGGGGGGGGGTGCTGCTCTCTGTTACAGCTTTTGGAGCATGAATGTTTTATAGGATTCTAGTCGGTGTTGCGAGAACACATACTACCAAGGGAGCTTTTTCCTAACGTATTAATAAAGCCCGATCTTTTGAAATAACACCTCTCACCTCCTCTCCCGCCCCTCACCCCAAACAGGCCTTGGATGAGGCAAGTGCTTCACTTTCAGAAGTCATTGACAAAAGTTTTGCTTTCCTTTGCTGCCTGGGAATCTCCAGGTTCCCCCACTCTTTAAAAAATGTATTAACAAGCTCTAAGCCGCCCGAAGTCTTCCTGTTCTAGGTGCAGTGCAGCCTGGGCAATGCCGGGCTCTGTGTGGAGAAACCCCCGCAGGTCGCCCGCCGCCCGGCCTGAGACTTTGGGAGACTGGGCGGGTACCGCGTGTGGTGTGTGGGGCCGCCAGAGGCCGTCCCACCGTCCCATGGGTCCCCACCTGCCTTGGGCCTCAGCCTTTGCACTACACCCAGGGGTAGTGTCTTTGGGCCTAGGCTGACTTCCCTGCACAGTGAGCACCCAAGGCAGGAGGGGCGAGGGAAGAGCTCCTATTTAACCCCTGACCGCCTCCCAGGAAGTCTCCGAGAGCCCTCCCGGGCTGCGGGATCAGGGAATGTGGGAATTGGGGTGGGGTAGGCAGCAGCCGGGCGCGGAGGGGGAGGGGAATCGAGCTGCCTCCAAACGCTCACGGATCTTTGCTGCCTTTCTTGAAATGAGATGTAAATATATTCATTACAGTGTGATCCCTCTGATGAAAACAGATAAACATTTTTGTAGGTCGGAAACGTATTTTTCAATTAATGTCAATATGGAGGCCCAAGCACAAAGTGCCCAGTGTGGGGACTGGCCCGCAAGCCGAGGCCCGGGGTTTAGGAGGCACTTGCTGTGGGGTCCAGAGGTGACAGCGGTAACCTGCCTCTTGCCTGACGAGGCTGGAAGCGCTGCCCATGGCCTGAGGGATCCGGCGACCCTCCTCAGCCTGGGTGCAAGACCCGGGCTGGCCAAGCACGGTGTAGGAAGCAGAGCAGGCCTTCCTACGTATGGCTTCACAGACCCCTTCGCAGACTCAGTCCAGGAACCAGGACACTTGGGGCCGAGCGGAAGAGAGAGGGAAAAGGTGGTCGGCTCCCATTCTTGGCGGGGCCGGCCTAGGGACCCGCAGGCAGAGGGTTTCTCCTGTGCTGTCTCCCTGGTACATACGGAAAGGCAGTTGTCTTCAGAGGTCTCTGTGTGTCCCAGCCAGAGAGACAGAGACTCCCCAGAGATTCAGTGGCCCTGTGGGCGACCCCGCGGTACAAGACCGGCTGCCTGCATTCCGTGGTTTTTCACTCTCAGAGCGCGCGGTCGGGACCCACAAATCTGATCCTGCTAAGGCACGTTTTGGAGCCGAGACTGCAGCGTTTAAGCCATGGGTTAAACCTTCCGACCACGAGAAAGCGTCCTCTCTGCTCCCAGGGCGTTTTAAAGGCTCCTTGGCGGGACTGACCAGTGTCCGTGGCCCAAGAGCTGGGGGGCTCTAGTGGCCCCGGGGCCTCCTTGCTGTGCGAAGGGCAGCCCCAGTAGGGGTCGGGCCGCTTCCGTTCAAGGTCCCGTGCCCCCTCAGATCCTGGAAGCCAGTGGGCAAAAGGAGACATGGAGCAGGTGGGAGTCTCCTCTGCCTGGGTGGCCGCCGGGAGGCCCCTGAGCGATGAGCCCGCTTTCGAAACGAGCGCCAGGGGGAGCAGTGGAACTTGGGTGTGAGGCCACAGGCAGGTGTAGGTCCTACGGTCACCTTGGGGCTCGCAGTCATGCCTCGGCCTACGGAGGCTTAGCAGCCCTAAGGAGTTGGGAGAATAGGATTGGGCTAACCGGGTGGGATACGACTGACTGGGTCCCCGGGACCAGAGGAAATACAGCTTAACAGTTGGAGAGCGGCCCACACAAGGTGACTTCCCTCTCAAAATTACCTGTGACACATGAAAGTCAAACACTCCCTCTTCTAACCCAAACGCTTGCTGGGCGACTGAGAAATTTAGGGGCTTTGAAGTCGGTTTAAACTACTTTAGCCACAAGCTTTTCTGAAAGCATCAAAAAAAAAAAAAAGCCATCTTAGGACGCGCTATCCTCTAGGACTCTCTAGGGTACCAGGCTGCGGCTCCTCCGCCGCCTGGGGACAAAGAATGGCGCAAGGGAGTTAAGATGCGACCTCTGCCCCCACAGGCACACCCCACCCTGCGACCAGGCCTGGGGGAAGCCCAGGGGTGGGAATGGGCCTCCCTTCTGGCCACCGGAACAACCTTGGGCTTCCGGGACTCTGCCCCTTACGTTGGTTCAGGCCCTCGGTCTCTGGCTGTCGGAAAGGGTCTCACAGGGCTCCCGGAGGCCCACCGACCAGCTTTGAGCTCAGGGGCACTAGGGATATGGAGCTCCCTCGATCCAAACCCACCTGAGCTCGGCTGCTTGGTGAGTGCAAAAAGTTTTCTTTAAAAAAAAAAAAATCCTCCTCTTCAGCGTATAGGCAGTCCTTGTATCTCCTACAGTGCCACAATCACCTCCTGTAAGCTCCTCGATTCTTCAGAACAAATCACCTGAATGTCTCTACAAATGGAAAACCATGGAGAGCGGGGAGGGTAGGCCGGGAGACACAAGTGGAAACTAATAAAACTCTTGTTAGAGGGCCTGCTCAGGATTCGTGGCGTCACTGGGCCTTTTACTTGCAAAGCCAAAGAGTTGTATTCCTAAATGAGTTAAAGACCCATTTACCTCTGTCGTGTTCTATTCATCAAGCCACAAGTTGAGAGTTCCTAACATGAAACTATTTGTTTGCTTACACAACCAGCTGGGCGCAATTTCACGTCTGAGATATCTATCTGAAAGCGCCTCTCATTTATTATCTCTCCTTGTCAGCGAATCCATTTTCCAGCTCCCCCTCCCCCCTTTGGAGTTTATTTATTTATTTATTTTTGGTGGGACTTCTTTGCCTGGGAGGGCCCGGTTCTGGAATGCTCCCCAGGGAGCAGCCGCTCCCTGCGGGGTTCCTGCCGCGCCCAGGGCGCGTGGACCAGGGCGCAGCCGAGGCGAGCTCGCCGCCACCGCTGACCCCCCGCGGGCGGGCAGAAAGGCCTGGGTGAGGGGCGGGCAGAGGGTAGGCCGGGCGGGACACTGCGAAGCTGCCTTCCTCCCAGGATGTCCTTCCTGCTAGCTCTCCCAGAGTGAGCCGCAACCACCTGTGCGAGGAGGGGGTGGGAGGAGGCCCCGGAGGGGAGTCCAGGAGCCTCTCTCCCAGATGGAGGCCCGAGATACGGATTTGAGAGATGCTTTTACAAAGCCTCACCTAATCCCATGGGGCCAATTTCTTCTCCCGGGCTGGGCCGAAGCGCAGAGTGAGTAACCAAGATGTAAATAGTTGTGTGATGGGTTGGGGGAGGGGGCAGAGCATTTATTGTGTGTGCGGAGGGAAGAAGGCTGCACGTGGTTTCAATTTTGAAGCACAAAGAAATAACATGCAATGCAGAAAATAGGTTTATGAATGTAATTGAGAGGAAAGAAAACAATTAACACGGTGCAAGGTTGCACACTCGATTCTCCACCCCTCGCCTTCTCTTCTACCCCAATTTTGAGAAATCCGGGTCTTGTGAATAGAGTGGGTCTAGGCACTTGGATCCGGCTCACAAGGGAACCCCGGATGGAGATCACAGTGATGGGTGGATAATGGTGTCTATCCATCTCTTAGTCTGCTGAGGCCTCCTCCAACCAAGCTGAAAGCGAGGGATCAAATCCCCAAGTCCAGCGTATAAAATATCCCTAGTTGTAAAGGTAGAAAGGAGAAGGGGTGTCTGTAAGGGAGGGGAGAG